ATTGTCTTCAGTATGATGGATGCCAGCCATTCCGATTCCTAATGGCGCGAACCACTGAAGACCCAATAGACTTGGCCGGTCTCGGTCTACGATGGTGAGTGGTAGAATTGCCTTATGTCCCTTGAAAGAGACCTGCACATGGTGGGTACCTGCGACTGGAATCCGGTTGCCTTGATAGTCTTTCAGTATGAGCCTCTGACTGCTGAGGTCTTGGCGTCAGATGTTGGGGATTAGCTGTTTGAGTGTTCTACAGGATACCATGGATAGTGATGACCCAGAGTCGACTTCCATGTTGCACGGTTTGTTTTCAATCATGACCTCTACTCGGATCTTTTTAGCGTCAAGTGATGAAGCGTGGCCGATGGTGATGGTTTGATGAGCCTCCTCTCATCTGGGGGTGTTGTTAAACCTTCGGGGTCTGCTGTACCGGTTCCACTGGTTGCTAGGGCGGTCCCTCTGCGTGGTGGCGTTGCCATCATTTCTCTTTGGGCTGCTCCCTCTCCGTCTGGGGCTAGAATTTCTCTTGTTTCTGCATACCTTCGTGATGTGTCCCCGTTTCTCACAAAAATGGCATATGGCATCTAAGAATCTGCATTCGGATCGGGGGTGGTTTCCCCCACATCCGGCACACTGGTAGTTGGATTTGCAACCCCGCTGGTCCCGTTGCTCACGTTCTGACCGGAGCCTGTGGACTTCTTCTTCCTCGCTGTCTGAGGATGACTCGACGTCTTCGTGATGGGTGGTTGATGTGTACTTGTCTGAAGGTTTCCCAGCATCATTGGTGGGTTGGTGGTTGGTCCCGCTGGTTCGATGCATTCGTGCTGCCGATTTACGAGTGGCTTCGGCTGCTGTGGCGTCTGCTATGGCATCTGCAAGCGAGATGTCCCCTTGGCCATAATCTTGCTCTGGACGGTTGGGTCTCTGAGGCCAAGGACGTAGGGGCCAAGGGGCGTAATGGTTGCGCAGGATGGGAGCAAGGGTGTCCCAATCCATGGTTTTAACTTCAGCTGGCTTGGCTAAGGCTTTAGCCATCTTAAAAACAGCTGGTCCACAATGGGTTAGAAAAACGGCTCATTTCTTGCTGGCCGTGGCATCTTTGAGGTTGTTGGACTCCAGGAACATATGAAATCTGTCCATGTATGAGTCCCAATCTTCGCTAGCTGGATCGAATGGTGCGGGTGGTATAGCGCTGCTGGCCATGTCGCCGTTGTTGTGCTCTGTCAGCCACGTGCTCCTTCGGCTAGCAAAATTCAATAGCTTCTGTTGCCTCCACATCCCATCCTCGTCGCCAGTGTTATATCTGGGAGGACGGTTCAAGAACGGAGGCAAGACTCAGACAGTAACTAAAGCTCTTTATTTGTGACTTCAGATCTGAGCAACTAACCGCAGCCGCAGCAGCCCCTTATATAGGGCTGGCTGCGGCTAGGCAGCCAATGAAGGCGATTTGAGTTTGCCGCTCTTGGCAGGGCCAATCGCAGCAGCCCGTTTACTGGCCAATCGCATCAGTCTATGGCGACCAATCACGATCGGCTTTCAGCGGCCAATCAGATTTGCAGGCTATGAGCCTGCTAGTCCGGAACAGATATAAAAAAATCTACTAAGAAGTCCGGCATTTTGTTAACACATCCAGACATGAAACCTGACTGGATAGATATTTTATTTCCTTCAGGGCTTCTTACAATTGTAGACCCACCACCTTCTCACCTTAAAAAAGAAGATTTGAGACTAGATAGTAGTTATCCAGAATTGGCGCCCTAATAAAAAATAATTTTTGGAGTCTGTTGACTGGAACAATAGCAGCAACTCAGCTATGGCTGTGTTCCAGTCATATTAAGTTTCTCAATTTGAAAAAAACTTAACTACTTATTCCATTATTGGATATGCTGATTTCCTTTAATTGCTTGTCTTTATAGGAATTAAGGCCTCAGGTGGATAAACATTCCATAGAAATAGTCATTGCATAGATGATAATTAACAAATTCAAAATAGATTTATATTTTATTTTATGCCATAAACCTCAAAGAAGTGACCCTTTGCAACATATTACTACAAAAATATGAATGTCAATTTGCAATAACTTGAAATATTATAAAATAATAAATCGTTTGATAATCTATAAACTATTACAACCCAAGTTTATCAATTCTTTTACAAATGAAAAATTACAACTTTTAAAAATGTAAGTACATAGAGATAGTAGAGATGGGGGGGAATCTTGGGCACTATCAGTCACTGACTACAGATTAACTCTTTCCATGATATTTATAAAGAAACATCTCTGTCATAATATTTTTGAACAAATACCCAAAAATAAAATTTCTACTTTATGGTTAGAGGCACACAAAACTTTCTTGCATATGTTAAACAGAAAAGAGAGACAAAAGAGTAATATACAGAATGTAAAATAAACGAAACTCACATTATAATGGATAAAAAAATGGATTGCAGGTGTCTCTCTCTCTCTCTCTCTCTCTGACTCTCTCTCTTTCTCTGTCTCTGTCTCTCTCTCTCTCTCTCTCTAAAATTCAGGAACTTTTTATCATAAAAAAATGAGACAGCTACTCATAATACATGGTTGACAACCAGTTCCAAAGTCACTTGCAAAAAGTTTGGTAAAAAACTAATCTTTCCCTCAGTCCTATTACAGGCAGAACTGAACACTGAACCATAACTGATATTGGTACCATAAGATTGGTACCATTGGCTCAGTGAAAAGGTTTTCTTGGTTAAAGTACTACTAGCTTGTTGAGTAAGAACCTAGAGTCTAGAACAGGGGTGGGCAAACTTTTTGGCTCAGGGGCCTCATTGACTTTTAAAATTTGACAGACGGGCCGCCACCTGGTGTCGAAATGCCTGTCATTACAAGTCAAAATCAAATGAATGCAATCATTCAATCATTCACATCAAACCTTAATTCTGTACCAATCTTCGGCGGGCCGGATTAAAAAGACCAACGGGCCGGATGTCGCCCCCGGGCCGTAGTTTGCCCACCCCTGGTCTAGAAGGTGTTCAAAGGTAATCCTGTCCAAAATTGCCAAGACTCCCCATTCTTTACTGACCACCAGAGACCCTCAGGAAGCTAAGTGGATCCAGCAGGTCCTTGGTTTATATGAAGATTCCTAGGAATGAAGCATTAGAAAAAATACTTATCATGTTGATGGAGAAAGACAAGCACACATACAAGCTCATATTAGGGCCTAATCTTTGGTCATTAAGTTGGCAAAATGTGATTATTTTTATGCCATATTGCATTTGCAAAATGCCCCTTTTAATGGCCCTTTTTAAGACAACCTGGTTTCTTATGGGATCTGAAGAACAGAAAGAACACTCAAAGCACTGCTGTGAAGTCTTGGCTGATGTAAATCTCCCTCTATCCCCCTTTTAATTGGAATAATCAAAACTATAATTAGACTAATGAATGATTAAATTAATAAAGTCCTGAGACCTTTAAATACAACTCAAAATAATGCATGTAATAATATTTTATTATGCTTATTTCCCCCCCAGGTAATTGGGGCATTAAAGAGCAGAAATTATGGAATGTGTAAAATTGATAGTTTCAGCATAATTAATGAACTGAAATTTGAGAAACTAATTATTTAATACTTAAGCAAATACTTCAATATGATACTTACTATGTGGTCACTAAATAGCCTGACTTGATTCTGAACAATTTATAAAATGTGCTGTTATTACCACATGTAAGATAAGAAATTCTCATCATCCAGTAATAATTTGCATTGCAAATTGAATTTGAATTATATTTCCTTTTATCTGAATTTGCAGTTCTCTCTAATACAGCTGTAGTCTTTGTGTTTAAATTCATAATATTAGCTACAATTTTCATTCTTACAAACTTCCTCTTGAGTCTGTTTTTCATGGTAATAAGAGAAATTCCAACTGCCTGTATTTACACCAAAGCAATTAAAACAGCACCGTGTGCTAGATGTTTTTCTTCACTTACTTCCTATAATATCTTAAAATATAGGCAACATAGACTATATATATTCTCGTTCATTATACTTTTATACATGACTTTATACACGACTTTTGGAGCTGTGAATCACAGGCAAATTATCTTTATGTCTTCTTCTAAGAGAAGCCAGTTGTTCAGCCCTTTCTGCTCCTCCCCCCACAAGCCATTGGACCTTGTGAATACCAGTACTGCTGACAAGATTGATAGAATTTTCAATTCTGGAGAAAATGGTATTATGTGAATATTTGTGTATTGTTTTTTGAGTGCAATATATATTCTCATGTTTTTTCATACTATTCTTTTATGCATATTTCAACATGCCTTTCAACAATGCAGACTTTTTAAAATTGGAGTACCATATCACAAAATTGAGTACAGTGTGAAAACCAGAACAAATTACATTCTCATACATTTATTAATTTAGGAACTGAAAATTAGGTTAGTTCCTTCCAAACATATTTCATTTCCTTTCAAATTGGTGGGTACCAATTCCAAACTAGTATCAGTATAGCATATTTATAGCATATTCAATGTCTGTAGCATGTTAAAACAATTTTATCTTTTATATTCAATGCAAAATATATCCAGAGGAACCAGGCTGTCATAAGATACCATATAAATAGACTGCTAGGTTTGGAAATGAGAGCTAGTATTTGTTTAACATTCTGGTTTAGAACACAAGCTTTTTTTAAAGTCTATTTCACAAGATTGCCTTAAGGATAAAATGTAATTTGAAGTGTTATGGAAGCTATGAATGATGTAACGCATAGTGGAGTGAGTGGTCCTATATTCCTGTAATGCTGTCTGGCATCCTGCAATATGAACGAATATTTCTTCTGTTCAAAGTGCCACCATTTTAGACCAGAAATTTTTATTTCAGGTTTACTAAACTATCCAATCGATCTCAGCAACCATTTTTAATAACTGTTTTTTGTCTGAGGTTGTAGCTGGTCTGTCAGAGGATTGTTACTTGTCCTAAAAGGTATTGCTCAAAACTTGACTTTTATCTGGTGTTTTTTTTCAGCTTCAGATATAGCAGCAGAACAAGGGCAGATTCTGGTCATTGCCACAGCTGCTGTGGGTGGATTCACTCTTCTAGTCATTCTCACTCTTTTCTTCCTCATTACTGGAAGGTAATGTTGACACTGTAATTCTCCATGTAACCAAGTACCCATGTGCCATTCTAAATTTTAAAATCTGATCATAAGAAATTAAAATAATGTAAAGAACTAATTTCCTCAGTTTTAGACTAAAACTATATTGTGTTTACTTACTTGTATTCATTCAATGATGATAAACAAATTTCACAGCACCTGACCATGTTGCTGAAGTTTCAAAATGCGACCCAATAGCCTCTCCTGACTGCACTGTAAACTATGATTAGCATTTGGTGGTAACAAATCAAAGATCTATGTAAAAGCTGGAAAAATAAGGGCTTTGCAGAAGGACCGGGCCAGATTCATATAAAATATTAAGCGCTTGTGGCAACCTTGCATGTCTCTTAAATTGAAATTTAGGAAATAATAGCTTCTTTGTTTCTTCAAACTGGTTCTGAGAGGCAGAGGAAGCTAATAAATATTTAAGGAATTTTGCACTCACTGAAAAAGAACATTTCCTCAGGAAAAATGATACTAATTTAGTAAAAAATATAGAATACTTATCACCTTATCAAACTTAAGGTTATTTCATTGCTTAAAAAATATCAAGTGCTTCATTTTTAACTTATCAATTTTCCTGTTGGGATATTTAGAAGATACATAAGTTAAAGCCCCAGTTTTGTTCAATTTCATTTTTTAAATCTGCCCATCAGCAACAACTTCTTGAAAATGAATATTATCAAATATTGTTATCTTTTACATAGATCTAAGAATTCACAGCACAGCAATTGGCCATAACAATATTATTACATAAAGTGTTTTATTCTCTCATTGATGAATAAAATTGGGAATGCAATTCTCAGAAGGGTTTCCACAGTTTTGTTACATTTTACTAAGTTTTTGTAGTTTTCACATTCTTAGGATAACATTATTCCTATGTTCTGCTTCTTCAAGAAGTTTCTAAATACAGCTCTCCTTTACACTGAGTTTAAAATATAATTTTCTTGTGATTCATGTGTCATGAAAAATCAACATCATTAACAAGTGTCTTCATTCAAAATGACGGATACCATGATTAATGCTCTAACAATTAATTTTCAAACTATATGCAAATCCTTTTATTAAGACATTTATGAGGGGCCAGTGAGCATCTCTCAGCTCCATTCACCTTTCAGGATTGTTGCAGTGAAAAATAGGAAGTGGAAAGAATATTAGGTATGTTCGCTGTCTTGAATTACATATAAAAATAATAAAGGCAAGATGAAACAAAATCAAAATAAATAAATCAAAATAACTAAATGCAATCATAATAGTTATCATGGTGAAAAAATTGCATAGTAAATAACATTCTAATATAATGACTAGGCTTGTTATTACGGTGGTAAGAGAAATAAATATATATGAGGTTTTCTTCATATGTATTAGAAATAGTAGGTAATATTAGGAACATGGCAAACAATTTTAGTTCTTATCTATTCTCTTTTTTAATGTTTTCTACATTCAATGGAATCATTCCATTATGTAATATAATGAATTGTTTTCCTGCAATTTAAATGCTAAAGTGAGAGAGAATAAGACAACTCAATGAATTTATTATTGGAATTGAAACAAATTTCAAAGTGCATTATTTGGCTTTGACTAGATGTTTTATTCTTTGTACTAAAGAATGTTTGATGCTACCATACACTGAATCTTATGGTTGTTAATCTTATGGTTACTTTATGTAGATAGGAGGTCATAAGAATCTGTATCTCAGTTTGATTAAATGATCAGCCTTTAAGCAACAGTTTCTAAGCTATTAATGTAAAACCATTAGTTGGAGGAGGTAAGAAGCTGATAAATTTTGTAGAATGTAACAGTTAGTTATGGTGGAAATAATAGAAAGGTGATTGTGTTATTAGATTTCATTGCAGAGTTCAGCGAAATTATGAAATCTTTGGTACCCAAATAAGATCAAGATACTGTTGACTTTTTTTCTGTTGGTAAGCTCCTTATATATGTTTAGCCATTGTGGAAATTAGGTTTATATAAATCTTTGGTCTGATCCAACATGACTCTTAAGACTGTCCCAAAAGAGCACTTGTACAAAAGTTGAAAATTGATTTCAAAGTAGAAACTGAGAAGCTGTATATAACTGTATGCAATTTCAACAAATTCCTAAGTAGATTAAAAAATGTGAAATCTTGCCCTCTTTGTAATTCTGCTAGAGTAAACTAGAGTGAAGTTATGGGTAGGTTAAGTGGAAGATGAATTTTGTTTCATGAACGTAATGATAAAGCTGCTTTCTTAAACAGTTAATTCAAAGTAAGGATTGATTACTTATGTAATATTATTATAAATAATAAATAATTATAGCTTTGTGACTTTTATTTATTTGTGACCCACCTATTGGCCAAAGATCTAAAATAGCCAAATTTAAATCCTGATTTAAGTGCATGATATTTAATTATGGTCGGTGACATGGAGCATACCACAATTGGTATGTTGTGATTGCTCAGAGAATTTCAGAATTTGAAAAGGTATCTTCCCTGTTTGGCAGATGTGCTTTAAAGATTTTTACTTGCTGAATAAAAAAATAACTGATGTTAAATCTTAAGAATATCTACCAGTGGTATTTTGATCACAAAATATCCGGTATAATGAACAAATTTTGACTTTGCCACATTGGTGTCTCCAATTATCCAAAATATTGGCTTCTTTGGAGAAAATAAAGATGTAGTCAGGTATAACTCAGCCATGACACAACCTTGCCCAGGGATTAAAGACTACTAATTAGAGAATAGAATCATCCCTTTTCAACTGTCCCAAGATGTAACCTAGTTTTATTGGTCACTAGAGAGCAGGGATGTGCAACTTTACTACTAAGTTGCAAAGATGAAACTAAATCAGTATGTAAATAAACTCCTGGTAACCACGGCTCTTTTACCTTAAGTGATAAGATGATAAGATATTCCCCATGCATGAGAAAATGTGGTATTTTGAATATAATTGTAATTTTAAGCATTTCAAAATCTTGAACCTGCTTTGGTACTTAAGCCCTTTATAATGAACAAAAATGGCTTTCAAAAACATTCAGTCTGATCTCAAGTGCTAGACACCAATTATTTCTTTCTAACTATATGTGAGAAATATCAGTCTAAAAGGAGCTACTCCCTTTGGAAGGAACCTTTGAGTATACTTGGAAGAAATATGAACAATGTGTGCACCATTAACACCTGTGAAGTTTGATTAACTGATATGTTACTGGAGTCCTTTTCATACATTTTAGTATCTATTATATAAAATATATTTTAATAAGACATGCTAACTACTACTTTAATTTGATTGTTGGTTTTCTTACCCCCTCTTCAATTAAATGCAGTACTTTTATGGTTATTATATAAACAGCATATTAGCTCAATATCATTTATTTTATGACATTAAGACAAAAGTAAAATAGTGTTTGTTTTCTTAAAGATGCCAGTGGTATATCAAGGCAAAAATGAAGTCTGAAGAAAAACGAAGAAATAATTTGCAAAATGGAAATTGTAAGCAAACATAACTGAAATTTTAAAAAAAATATTTAAATCAATTTCACCACTGTAATTTTAACTTGCATTTACATTGCATATCAAGCTGATAAAGCCAATCTTTGTTCTAGCTAGAATTATCTTTAATATTTTTATCCATTTGAATGTGTAAATTTTTGCAGGAAAAAAGTTATTCATTTCAAAGCCGTGGAAGATTCATGACTGTTTTGCAAATTTGAAATGATTAAAACAACCACTGCATCATAAACTTAATGAAGCTTCTAGATCACTCAAACCAAAATAACCAAATAGCAAACAACATCTGCACATTGTTAGATGTTTTTTTTTTTTTAATTAAGCATTTATTCCAGATTATTTTATGGGGGAAATAATTCTGTTCACCTTTGATGTGTGCAAAATAAATACTTCTCATTAGCATTTAGATGTTTAGAAGAATTTTCACCTGCTGCTTGTTATATGATTTTCTACAAACTTTTTGATTTCCGCCTGTTCAAAATCATAGCATATTACCCCCCCCCCCTCCTCTCTCTCTCTCGTAAAAAATGTTTATTCTACTTTGGTTATTTCCAACTTTTCTATAGTTTTCTTTCCACAATTCATCAACATTTTAAAACTAACATCAGCATAGTCTGAATTAATAGTTTAGGATATGAGTCTACTTGTGCTATATGTAATAATTACAGTGATACCTCTGTACTCTCTCCTAGAGAGTCTAAGTGAAATAATTTGATTATGGGTCAAAATAAAAGCCCCAAATATTTGCTGTAATGAATGCATAAGCCAGTAGAACAATTAAAATATTAAAGACAGTGCACTTTAAGTATACAGCTTAATTAAGAATCTGATCAAGATTTATAATCCAAATAAGTCAGTTTAGTTAGAGTCATAAGCATGTAAGATAACACAGACTTTTACATTAGTACTTTCAAGTCTTCCTTCTCACTGGCTTTCATCAATTTTGTTCAACATGTAGGGCTATTCCATACTTTCATGAAATGTTTCCCTTAAGTTTGCACTTCAGTAATTTTCTGCATTTAATTCTGTGTTTCATCACTCTTCTCCAGAAGTTGTGCTACAAAATATGGACTAAAATCTGGGGCGGGGGGGAGGGCTTTTAAATGCCTAGGATTAAGGGGACTAGATCAGGGGATTCAATATTTACCATGACTAGACTTAGTTTTTCTTTTTGATTAGGGAACAAATTATCTGTAGAAGTCATTCTACTAAAGTCAACCAGAAGGACAGTGGGATGAAATAGAGTAAAACAGAAGTGTATCAAGTAAAGAAGAATAATGTTACATTTTTAAAAGAGTAAGGGGAATAAATACAGTATTATTACATTATTAAAAAGTCCTGACAATCAAGGACTATTAAGGAGCCATTTTACCCTGAAGATGGACAGAGGAGCAGCCTGATTATTAGTTTCCCAACATCTCCCATGTGTTTATTCTTTTTAAAATATATTGGCCATGGACAATGCACTGATAAAATATCTTCCCCTGCAAAAAAAAGATAGCCTGACAGAATGTATGAGTAAAGAGTTCAGTATAAAAATTGAAGGCAATAGCATAAGTTTAAATATCAGCTATCCTGTGACAATCATGAAAGATAGCCAGATCTAAAAATAACGTTTTACTTATAGTGCTTTAAAATATACTGTACATCATAAATGGAATAATTCCTTATTTCAATAAAAGCTAATATTTGTAGCTCAGGATAAAACTATAGAGTCAGGGGTGGGTTTCTACTGGTTCTGTCCACCTCTGTAGAACCGGTAGCTCTGAAGAGCAGCAGACATAGAACCAGTTCTATGTCTGCTGATGTTTTTGCCCACCCGCCCACCTGGGCTCTTACCTGATTTTTATTTCCTGATTTTTCAACTTCAGCTGCCGAACGAGGCACAGCTGCAGTTTAAAAAGCAGGAAAAGAGGGCTGTTTCAAAGGCTGCTTCTCTGCACGAAGCGTGCTGATGATGATTCACAGGCATGCGGCTGGCAGGTGCAGGGAAGCACATCGTAAATCACCAAACCTCGTAAATCCCGAACTGGTAGTTAACCCTGTCGTATCCCACCCCTGTATTGAGTCCTTAGTGATCTGTGAGCTTGGAGGTTTTCTTGCAGATGTTTCTTGCAAAAAAGAGCCTAATCAAGGAACCATGAAGACTCTTCCTATCAACACAGATAGGGTAAGCCAAATATACATAAAATGAGAGCAAACCCAACTCCCTTCTGCACTGATGATGTTATCAAGTTTGGTCATGAAAAGTCTGCAAGAAAACAACCAACCTCAAAGAATACCAATGACCTCACAATTCCTTGCTTTTCTGAGGCTGTAGGAAAAGTGCTGTTACTTAGTGCTGTAGATTGCAAAATTAGAATGACAATTGATGTAGCCAACTGCCCTCTTCATTCTTCTTCATCTTCTTCTTTCAAACTTCACAATAGCTTGGAAACTTTCTTCCATGAATATATCTTAAAGCAAGTGAAAATGTAAATATTTATCCTTGAATGCTATATTATTTAGATTGGAAAAAACCCATGCTGCCTTCTAATCACTTTCATCTTATCCCTCCTTTATTAAAGAAGGAAAAAAAGAAGGTAATTTTCATTCTTTCTTGGTCCTATTATAATTGTACCATTTGCGTACTTGCTAATATATAAAGCATCTATTACCTTTCTCTATATGCAGCCTTTTCACAAATTGTTTGGGATGAATGTTAATTAAACAGTTTAGAATAACAAGGCAGTTTAGAACAATAATAAGTATTAAATTTCATTATGGGTCTTAATGATCTCATTTGTTTTATTTTAAATGCTGCAATCATTTGTATATAATGCAGAAACTACCTTTCTGATTTTACAGTACGATTTCCAGGAACCAAAACATATATTGATCCAGATACTTATGAAGATCCATCCCTTGCTGTTCATGAGTTTGCAAAGGAGATAGAGCCAACAAGGATTCGTATTGAGAGAGTTATTGGAGCAGGTAAAAATTAATCAATTTTTTTCCATAATTAATAAGTGCACTTTTAAAATAATCTAGTGATAATACTATCAAAAATATATGTTTTCTTAAGTTTTCGCGGGTACTTACGTGTATGGTATTCAGCTTTGTTCTGGTATTTTCCCACGTCATTGTAGTTTCCCACATCATTATAGAAAATACCCGAACAAAGCTGAATACCGTGTGTGTGTGTGTGTGTGTGTGTGTGTATACACATACATCATTTTAACTGAGTCTCAGTTGAACATAAAAATCTCAGCCCTAATGTAGAAGCTGTTTAAACTTGAATAACTTCTATTATGAGTTATAGAACATAAATGGGCAATTTCTAGTCCTCTAAATGTTACTTAATTCCAATTCACATTGCTAGATACTTGACTAGCAAAGCGGCATTGTCACCCTACGTTAAAGAAATATTATATGTTCTTTATTTCAAACACTAGTCATATTACATGTAATTTTCAACTTTCAACCACAACTGGGACAGGGATTTCTGTCATAAATTGATACAGTCATAAAGGGATTGATTAGGTGATGGAACCCAATTTTACAACCACTTTTATCAGATTGTTAAGCAAATCATTAAGTGGATGTTAAGTGAATCATACTATCATTAAGCAAATTTGGCTTCTCCAATTGACTTTGTTTCTTGGAAGCCAGCCAGGAAAGTTTTAAATCATGATTATGTGACTATAAGATACTGCAACTATTATAAATAGTTGCCAAATCTGAAATTTACAATCACATGACCATGGACATGGCATGACAGTCATAACTTTGAGAAAAAGTCATAAGTAACTTGTGTCAAGGCTGCCATAACTTCAAACCATTGTCAAAGACTACCTGTATTTGTGGAATACTATATGAAATAGCCAAATGAATCCTATTTGACTATCTGAGTGAATTTGTGTGTGTGTGTGTATAAAGCATAATAATTTTACCAACCCAAGTTTTTAATATTTGAACAGATATTTCATATTTCATAAATTATTGAAACATTTTAAATTTATATAGCCATTTTGTATAAAACGTCTTGACATTATTTTAAATAACAGTTTATTTTGTTTCTCTACAAAAACAGTATGCAACTAATCCTAACTAAGGATAATCTGAGAGAGAACAATTTTGAAATATAGATAGATGATAGAAATAGAGATAGAGAGATAAAGACAGACAGACAGACAGACAGATAATCTATATTCAGAAGCTACAGTGAGTTCCATAATATTACTGTCTGTTATAATTAGAACAAACCTGTGTCCACCTGCACAATTGAATTAGAATTTAATTCCTTAAAATGTTGTCCTTATCAGCAAATATTCTGTTATTCTATCTCCTGATTGTTATATATTGTTTTTTGTATGTTATTTTATAGTTTATAGTTTTAGAAGGGAATGCATATGGAAATGACTCTTTCCTTCTGTTTAGATCTACTCAGAGGACATCTTAGCCACATTATATACATTATGTATTATCTATCTGTAATACAGTAGTCCTCAACTTACAACAGTTTGCTTAGTGACTGTTTCAATGACACTGAACAAAAATGGCTTATGACCTTTTTTCATACTTATGACCATTGCAGAATCCCCATGGTCACATGATTTACATTTGGATGTTTGACAACTAACTCACATTTATGACAGTTACAGTGTCCTGAAGTCATGTGATCACCTTTTGCAACTTTCTGACAAGCAAAGTCAATGGGTAGCCAGATTCACTTAACAACACTATTAATAATTTAACAACTGCAGTGATTCGCTTAACAAATGTGGCAAGAAAAGTCATAAAAAGTCACAACAATTTCTCACTTAATGTAAATTTTGGGCTCAATTGTGGTCATAAATAGAGGACTTAACCTATATAAGATTAGATTAGACCAGATCAGAGAAGATTATTGTGCTTTTCTTTCAAAGTCTCCATAATAAAAGAACTAGTCTAAAGTCAGTTATATTTATTGAAAAGAAATTGAATCTCTTTTGATACTACACAACTTTGAACATTGCTTTGGATAATAAATGTGTGGCTTTACCTGTTATCGTGCTTTCATTTGTAACTAATTAAGTTTACTAATCAGGAATTGTGGGGCAGAAAACTTTTTTGTAAATAACTTACATAAGTATGTATGTTTTTATTTATTTTTTATTTTTTTAGGGTTATTTTGCCAGAATATTTTCATATATTTATTCACATATTTAAAATATTAGAAGATAGTAAATGGTTATAATTATATATATTGTTGTTAGGTGAATTTGGAGAAGTGTGCAGTGGTCGCCTAAAAACACCTGGGAAAAAAGAGGTTCCTGTAGCCATAAAAACTTTGAAAGGTGGACATGTGGAAAGGCAGAGACGGGATTTCCTACGAGAAGCTAGTATCATGGGACAATTTGATCATCCAAACATTATTCGCCTTGAAGGAGTTGTCACAAAGAGTAAGTTGTCTAAGATATATTATATGTTGCTTTCTTTCTCTCCTTTATCCACCCCAGTCCCTTACCTAAAGTTGCTTGCTCTACACATATAGGTAAGCAGTATTGTATCTAAAAGTGCATATGTATGTATTCTTTAATGTAGGCCTAGTTATGGCATTCAAACCATATGTGCAATATTAAATATTTGTGTGCAAATATGTTCTTTCAGTTCTATCCACAGTTTGTTTGCTTTAAATGATTAACTTATTCAAAATCAGTATTTATCAATATGGATAAAGTGAGTAACCAATGTACATTTATACTATCCTTCATTAAATAATTACATTGAAATCAACATAATTCATGTCACTTCAACTGTTTCAATACATAGTGAATGAAGCAAAAATGTTATTTGAACTTTACTGGAGATATAACAAACAGTTGAGAGTAAATATATTCATATTTGGAAAAGTGTTCTGAATTTTGGAAGAATTGTGAATTTCTTCAATGAAGAATGAAACAAAAATTTGATTAATCTACACTTCCTCGGGTGTCTCTGTCTTCTCTATTGTATCTTTTTATCTTTCCTTATTTTTCCTGTGCCCTTAAATTGCCATGTTTCTGGCAAGATATTTGTCCCAAGTAGGTTTAAGTTTAGGCTGCACAATCATTTAGATTTTTATGTATTAGTTATGATTCAAATAAAACTATGAATAAATTCATAAATTAAAAATTACATATCTGCCATTGCAATATTCTTGGAAGAATAAAAATATTATCTGGTCAAAACAATGGAAATTTTTTCATATCTACTTTTTTTGCTTCTTTCCTAATATTATTAGGAAAAAAAACAAAGCAGTTTATTTCATATGATACATATAATTTATCTGAAAAAAGAAATCTACTTATGTAATTTACTTTTAAGGTCTATATTAAGACTACCTATCATCACCTCATCAGATTTGATGACTTGCTACACTTCCTTATGTTAGTTACTATTTTAAAATTGGCTTGAGCATTCTGAAAAATCCATGTGCTGACAAGATGAGAAATGTGCTGATATTACTGCAGTGATTAAATCTTTTTTTAACTTTTAATTTTATTTCTTGATTATATAAAAGTCAAAATAAGAACAAAAACAAAATAGAACCAAGCTTAATGAGTAGTAACAAGTTACTGAGCATTTCTGCAGGAGCAATTTAAAGCATCAAGCAGCGAAATTGTTGTAGCAATATATCTTCACTGAAGCAGGATATGTATTGCTACAGCAGTGGCTGGGTGATGTTGTAAATCCCTAGAGTACAAATGCTCCATAATTAACGGTCCTAAATTACATTCTCATACCGATCATAAAGGTTGTTGGCATTGAGTTTATTTTCTTAAATTTTCTTTTCCAACTTATAAGGTAATAAAACTGACAATCAAGTAGCATCACTCAAAGGAATGTTGTCAACTGATCAGTTTTAAAAGAATAAATAATCTGGATAGTAATTATTTTGACAGTAAATCACTCTAATATGTATCAAAGGCACTTCAAGAGATGCCGACAGCAGATCTTTCTACACCCTTGAAACATTCATTAGACATAGCAAATGTTTCTTTCCAACCAACAATTTTGGATGGCAACATCACAAAGGCAATATATTATTTCTTGATCTTATATTCTTAATTCTTTCCTGTGGTTGCAAGAAATTAGCATGCAATTGTGAACAGGGTGCCTGAATAAGATCAATGTCTTTTAGTAATTGTATAATTTCAGTACTGATTTTAGGTGATTATTTAGTTGGACTCATTCTGAACAAATAACAAATAGCATTCTTAACTTGCTCTTTATTCTAATACAAGAGAGCTTTGGGTAGACTTTAAGACCGTGTACTTAAATTCAGTGCTTAAATTTAAAATCTCAAGAGAAGAATAGCAAAGAGTTCTTGTGAAAAAGTCTTCTTACATATTATAAATAGAAAACAGCTATCAGTATGAGTAAGGCTGAGCCCAAGGCAGAATCAGTATAGATTCTAGAAACTTAACAGTTCCCTTCAGGCTGCTTTTCCGCAGCTTCTACTCCTATCTCAGGAGAATCATATCCTCCCTTAGGACTCTCTCTGGAGCAAAAGGTTTGTTGGTTTTTCGTTTTAAAATATCTTATAGCAATGAGTCTAGCCTTCCAAACAAGTTTGAAGGTCCATAATATTAATAAAATTTCCATCTAATCCATTTCAATAACTTCCATTCATGGATGGAAAATACTAAAAATAGCCAACTCTTTGTTTTTCTCAAATATTTTCCCATGATTAAAGTAATAATTTTTAAATTATGCAGATCATAATAGCAGGTTTAGAATTAAGGTGCTAACACAATTTTGTTCTTATATACTTTTAAGAACCTAATTCCTAATTCACATTTAGGATCAGAGGTGGTATTTAGCAGGTTCTGACCAGTTCTGGAAAACTGGTAGTGGAAATTTTGAGTAATTGGAAGAACCGGCAAATACCACCTCTGACTAGAGATTTTAAGGTATCCTTCCCTGTCATGCCTACCAAGCCACGCCCACAGAACCGGTAGTAAAAAAATTTGAATCCCACCACTGTTTAGGATTGACTTGAAGCATGTGTAGAGATAAACCAATTTGTGTTTCAAAGATGTACCAGAAGCAAGGACCATTTTATTGGTGACCATTTGGATATTGTTCATTGTTATGCCATTCTTTGCACAATCTCTTTATAAACCTAACAAGGCTGGAAAGCTTAGCCTTTAGGTTAATCAGTTTGAATATTTATTCAGTGATTTGTGATAGTTGATTTTTAGTTATCAGAATTAGTTTTTAAAAGCAGGTTTATTTCTGTTTTTCATGTTTAAATAGTACAAAAATATACCAGACCCTAATACAAACATGTTAACATTAAAATACATATTACATATACAACTACACAGAAGGACAAAATAAGAATTTCATAGACAGATTTTGTAGTATTATTATTGAATAGCATGTTTCCAAGTAAATTATATTTTTCTACTTATTTTTCTATTCTATTGTAATATTCACTGAATATTAAAATATAGAACTAGACACAGATTTGAAATATTTAAAAAATCTAAACATTTCTAGAACACAATTTATTTCTTAATTGCTATAAAATGTTTCAAACTACAATTATAGCATAGAGAAGATTCTTGCATTTGCTTATTATCCCGCCAATATTTTATATAAATTTTTATGAAAAAAACTTTTAATAAGTCTTACTTTTTATTTTGTGCTTGTGTGTTTGTACGTATCTAATGGTATTTTGTTACAGTATTAACAGGAAAATAAAAAGGTATAAATTGCATGGTCTTTCTAGAATTATAGTTTTCATTTATGTTAAGAAATATATTCTGTTAGGTAGCTCAAAAAATACTAAGCAGAATTTTAAGTATTAAATGAAAAATTAGTTACTCTGAATACATTTGCACCAAGACAAATTCCTTGTGTGTCCAATCACACTTGGCCAATGAAGAATTCTATTCTATTAATTAAACTGAGATAATCAGTTTGTTCTGTCCCCACTACACGTTATCTATCTGCAGCTCAACTGGCAGCTAAACCCGTAATAAAAGCTTTATCGGAAGAACAGGGTATAGTGAAACTGAGAAAAATGGGGATACATACAGTGAGAATCAAATATAAGATAGACAGTATTAAGTTACTGCTGAACATAACAATTAATAAATACAACAGTTTGAATCTCACCAGGGATATTCTGTTTGAATTTGTTCTTGGATGACCATGTGCCACAGATTAAAATGGCCGTTCCTTTTGTTTCTTCTTTCTCCAAATGCTAAAGGAAATTAAGTATGGCTTCCTAGTGTGCACTTGGCTTCAGAGTGCGGGCTAATGGGTAAATGGGTGGAATCAGCTTCAAACAATAGAGTTGGGGCATATTTATCTCTCTGGCCACTAAAGCCTGCCAAATAGGAAGTTTGATTTGAGAATATTTGAAATATAAAAGTTCAAATTGGCTTTATGGAAATACTATAGACTGAAGAAATACTGAATTGAGATATACTTATGGGGCAATTATCAGATAGAATATGATACTGAACCCTAAGATGTTCACATTATAAGTGGTTAATGAATCGCTGTCTGACAGTGAAAAACTTAGCTAATCTACAGTATGGAGGGAGATACTATCCCCTCTGTTAGCCATTAGTTATTAAGTTGCACAACTTGCTTATATATACTGCTTCAGTTAATAAGAAAAATGATCCAATGTTTTAATCTATTGGCTTTAAAAACAGAGACCAAATTAATTGAGTGCAATGGATTTTAAAATTCTCTCCACTCATTAATTACTGCTCAGTAAGACAAAATGTTTTGTTTTGTTTTTTGGTATGGTGAAATTACTTTGGATTTTTTTAAAAAAATAATATTAAGAAAGGACATACGCAGACTTATGATGCAAGGTATAAAAATAACATTTTGGTGCTACATTGAATGGGAAGAAGATATTTTGTCTTTTAGCTTAATGATTTAAACTTGATAATTTTGTCCAATATAATGCAACAGTTTTGCCAAGGATAGAAGAGGCTATAGAGGTCAAGGACAAAAGAACTGAAAGAATTTCTTACTTCACTTCTATCACCATAAATGTTTTTTTAATTGGCATACCATACACAGATTTACAGTGCGCAGGGACAACAATTCTGCCTCACTGCAGAGTTCAAACACAGTTCTTCTTGTCTGGCTTTTTTACAATAGTGAAGCAGTAGATGCTGAACTATTTCTATTTATTTGAAGCGAGACAACTCTCTGTAGAATAAATACCTCCTGGAATTCAGTTTTATATTTAGACGTACATTTAATGCATTTTGTGATCACTTTGATTATCGCTATGCACAAAATATATGTCTGAAAATCATACCACTAGTAGTAGGACACTGCAGAGTGTCTATAATTATTTGAGAGTCAGAGACAAACTGAGATACTTCACATTTGGTCATAGCCTCAGACATTATTTGAAATATTTAGAAGAGGCTACTCCACC